TTTTTTTTTTTTTTCTGCTGAGTAGTACTCCATTGTGTAAATGTACCACATTTTCTCTATCCGTTCTTCAGTTGAGGGGCATCTAGGCTGCTTCCAGGTTCTGGCTATTACAAATAATGCTACTATGAACATAGTTGTCCTTGTTGTATGAATGTGCATTATTTGGGTATATTCCCAAGAGAGAAATTGCTGGATCTTGAGGTAGACTGATTCCCATTTTCCTGAGAAACCGGAAATGGCTATTTTTTAAATCAAACATTCTAATACAATAGAATATAATGGCATGCTAATTTAATACTTACATGATAGTAGGAAAATGTTAAAGTTTTTATTTTTGTACTTAAAACCATTATGTTTTATAAAAGAAAAATTCTATGAACAACAAAAACATTGCAGTTCATAGCATGCAGTACTGTCAAGTCTGAGCTGAGCTATTTCAGACAGCATTTGTTGTCATTGGGATTCTGGTGGCATGTGCAATGCAAAGTGTATGTGATGTCGGCTCAGAACCAACCACTGCTTCAGTAACGTTGTGTGTATGAGGCAACACAAGCAACTGCTGCCACAAATGTGTGGGATTCATCATTCCTTTGATTTTGAATTCATTTTTGGTCACTGCATGTCCAGAAATTTTGTAAAATTTCTCGAAACCCTCACACTCACTTATGCAACCCCATAGGGAGTTAGAATCCATAGTTAGAGGGGCTGTTTTCCCCCTGCTGACCGCCTTTTGTCTCCTCTTTTGACCATTCATTGTTTCTTTTGGTTACCTATGTCTCTTTTAAGTCACTCTTCCTCCCCTTTCTCCATTTCTATCTGTTCTCCTGTCCTTTGCTCTGTTTTTCTGTCTTTCCTTCTCCTATGTCACCATCTGCCTGTAGAAAACACGTCTCTTTCTTCGTCAGCCCCTGTGGCTATGCCTACCTCTTACGCTTAGTCTGTCTCTGTGCCTAACCTTTACCCCTTGTCTCACCCTTAAGGCGAAGGTGTGTGCGTGTGTGTGTGTGTGTGTGTGTGTGTGTGTGTGTGTGTGTGTGTACCTTTGCACATACACAGCGGAGAGTTTCTGCAGTTCTGGGAAGGGTAGGAGACAACAGACCTCAAGGGACTGAAAGAGACCTGACTATCTGCATTTCTTTCCAACCCCTGCCCTAGCATGCTCTCATTTCAGTAGGCCATTGGTGATGAGACTTCTTAGTGCTGTCAAAAAGAAAAAAAGAATTACTGATTTTAGGTGTAATACCAGAATTATTGAGCTAGAAAACAATGTAAAGGAGACAACTTCACTAGGAAGGCATTGGTAAAAAGGCATCCACTTCAGCATTCATCTCCCTAGCATATCCCCCAGGCTAGCTAACTAACTCAGCCTCTCCTGCTTCAGTTCCATGTGGCCCAGCCCAGCTCCCTTCCCTCTGGGAAATGCTGTCACTTTGTCATGGCTCCACATTGCCAGCCTATGCCCCAGGCTGTGCTTGCAGTGTGAATATTTCCATGGAGCCCTTGGCATCTTTTCACCAGGTACCTACTATGTGCACGATACTGATCTTTTAGAGGGGAGGGAGCCTACCCTGCCCTTGTGGGGCTTCTGTTAATAGTATGAGACAGGTAATAATGTGAATTGGAAGAGTAAAAGATACAGTTAGAAGAGAGAGAGTCAGGTTAAAAGGTAAAGGGGTATGGGGATGCTATGACCTCTTACCTGGATTACTACTGAAGCCTCAGTAGTCTCCCTACCCTACTCCCTCCTACCTTTATGGAACATACCCTGTTCTGACAGCAACAAGTAGGATCATATTCAACCATGAACGGGAATCACATCTTTCCTCTGTTCAACCCCCCCCCTAAGTAATTCTAAATCAAAGTCCTTACTATAGCCTCTATAAGTCCTTGCTGACGCTCTGAGTTCACATCCCAATGCTTACCTTTGCACAATGTTCCAGCCACCATAGCTTCTTTGCTTTTTGTCAGTGTAGCTCCATTTCAGAGCCTTTGTTCCGATTGTTCTTCTTGCCTAGAGTCCTCTACACCTAAACAGCCTGTTTGCTTAGATAACTCCTCCTTTGTGAAGCTCTCCCTACCCACAGCATCATAAACTGCAATACCCTCCTCATCTGACACTTTAAATCCCCCTTCCCTACTTCATGGGTATATTTCAGAATATTGTCATCATCTGCTGTACTAACTTCACCCATGTCTCTCATTATTACCTAATTTGTCAATTATACAAAACTAGGAATTGTCTTTTCTCTTTTGGTTTGTTTGTTTGTTTGTTTGTTTGTGAGACAGAGTTTCTCTGTGTAACATCTCTTGCTGTCCTGGAACTCGTTCTGTAGACCAGGCTGGTCTTGAACTCAGAGATCCCTCTTGCCTCTGCCTCCCAAGTGCTAGAGTGGGAATCTTTTATCTGTCTGATTCACAACTGCATCCTCAGTGCCTGAAACAGTGAATGACTTAAAATAAAGGAATGCTTTTTCAATGAAGCAATGCAATAAGCATGTTTACATTTTTTTACATTCACATATAGTCCTACATTCACACAAGACAAAAGCCAGAGGCCTTCATTCATGATCCACAGCACTACAACATTTGGTCTTCTGTGACTTCACCTCTTACCTCTGTATCTCTGAAATGCACCATTAATATTTGTCTTCTCACTGCTCATACAGCATGCTACACACATTCCCGGCCACAAACAAAGATATTTTGCTGGGCACAGTGGCATAGAGCTGTAATCCTAGCACATGGAAGTCTGAGGCAGGATGATCCCAAGTTCAAGGCCTGTGTGGCCTAGGGAAAATGTTCATAGTCATCCCAGTCAACTTCCCAAGAACCTATTACAAAATTAAAAGGTGTTGTTGTTGTTGTTGTTTTTGTTGTTGTTGTTTTGGGGGTTGTTTGATTGGTTGGTTGGTTGGTTGGTTAGTTTTTCAAGACAGGGTTTCTCTGTATATTTGGAGCCTGTCCTGGAACTCATTCTGTAGACCAGGGTGGCCTGGAACTCACAGAGATCCACCTGCCTCTGCCTCCCAAGTGTTGGGATTAAAGGTATGTGACACCACCACCCAGCACAAAATTAAAGGTTTAAATTGTAAAGTTTTAAAAAGGTTTAGGGATATATCTCATTGGTAGACCTCTTGCCTACCAGGCCTGAGGTCCTAAATTCAATCCCCGGTACAGCAAAGGAAGACAAAAGAAGAAATAAAGTAAGGCCAAGGGGGGAGGGGAGGAAATGCGAGAGAGTGAAAGACAGAAAGAAATCCAGTGGGTGGCTGTCAATAGTTTAACAAACCAGAACATGAAATACAAGAAAAATGAGTAATTATATTACAATTAGGATTAGTACTGTCTAAAACTTTTAGTTGAGGTAGGTGTGTGTGTGTGTGTGTGTGTGTGTGTGTGTGTGTGTGTGTGTGTGTGTGTGTGTGTTCGCGCGCGCGCGCACGCTGCATTATGGGTATCAGTAACAAAAAAAAAAAAAAAAACAATGCTTGAATACAACTTTAGGGCTTATAAAAGGGAAGGAAAGTTAGACCAACATTGCAACTCTGCAGACCCACCAGTGGAGAAAGAAAGGTATCGGAGGGCATTGGGAGGTCTAGGAGCAGGACTATCTGGGGAGTCAGCGGGAAGGGTCCATAGACACACTAACCTGCCCTCTCTGTTTCTTTCTCATGTTTCTCCTTTCCCCTGTCATGTTCATTTCTGTGTTGTTTTCTATCCATTTATATCCTTGTCTTCATTTTTCAATCTCATTATTTACCACTCTGTCTCTGCATTTTCTCTGTCACCTACCTTCATCTCTCTCTCTCTCTCTTCCTCCCTCCCTCCCTCTCTCCCTTCTTCCCTCCATTTGTCTCCGTTTGCAGGTGTAGCGCAGCAAGACAACTGATGGAGTCCCCCAGGGCCCATCAAATACTGGACTGGCCGACCCCCTAGGGTTGGGGGTCGCCCTTGCCCCTCAGTATGGCCAACACCACCGGAGAGCCTGAGGAGGTGAGCGGCGCACTGTCCCTGCCATCAGCATCGGCTTATGTGAAGCTGGTGCTGCTGGGACTGATCATGTGTGTGAGCCTGGCAGGCAATGCCATCTTGTCCCTGCTGGTGCTCAAGGAGCGTGCCCTGCACAAGGCTCCTTACTACTTTCTGCTGGACCTGTGCCTAGCTGATGGCATACGCTCTGCCATCTGCTTCCCCTTTGTACTGGCTTCTGTGCGCCATGGCTCCTCATGGACCTTCAGTGCACTCAGCTGTAAGATTGTGGCCTTTATGGCTGTGCTCTTTTGCTTCCATGCGGCCTTCATGCTGTTCTGCATCAGCGTCACCCGCTACATGGCCATTGCCCACCACCGCTTCTATGCCAAGCGCATGACACTCTGGACATGCGCAGCTGTCATCTGCATGGCCTGGACCTTGTCTGTGGCCATGGCTTTCCCACCTGTCTTTGATGTGGGCACCTACAAGTTTATCCGAGAGGAAGACCAGTGCATCTTTGAGCATCGCTACTTCAAAGCAAATGACACACTGGGCTTTATGCTTATGTTGGCTGTGCTCATGGCAGCCACGCACGCTGTCTATGGCAAGCTGCTACTCTTCGAGTATCGTCACCGCAAGATGAAGCCAGTGCAGATGGTGCCAGCCATCAGCCAAAACTGGACATTCCATGGCCCTGGGGCTACCGGCCAGGCTGCTGCCAACTGGATCGCTGGCTTTGGTCGTGGGCCCATGCCACCAACTCTGCTGGGTATCCGGCAGAATGGGCATGCAGCTAGCCGGCGGCTACTGGGCATGGACGAGGTCAAGGGTGAAAAGCAGCTGGGCCGAATGTTCTACGCGATTACACTGCTCTTCTTGCTCCTCTGGTCACCATACATCGTGGCCTGCTACTGGCGAGTGTTTGTGAAAGCCTGTGCTGTGCCCCACCGCTACCTGGCCACTGCTGTTTGGATGAGCTTCGCCCAGGCTGCTGTCAACCCAATCGTCTGCTTCCTGCTTAACAAGGACCTCAAGAAGTGCCTGAGGACTCATGCCCCTTGCTGGGGCACAGGAGCTGTCCCAGCTCCCAGGGAACCCTACTGTGTCATGTGAAACAAGCCAGTAGGTGATAGGCAGGGAGAAAAGTCATGATCACCATACTGGGACCAGCAGCAGGGGAAGAGTAGGACCCATACAGAAGCCTTCTTTTTTGAACTTCAGCCCAGGCTCTCAAACCATCCATAACTGAGGCATTTTGCCAACACCTCCCTAGGGGTGGAAACTGGGTGAGGAACTGGGAAAGAGGCATTTCTAGTTTTGTGGGGCTTATCCTGCAGCCGCCTCCACTTCTACAATCTCATTTTCCCATGCCCTCCCTGCCTCTCTATCCCTCTCCCCTCTTCTATCTTTCTAAAGTGATGATTCAGTAAAAGAAAACAAACTGAAAATGCAGGGTTTTTAATAATAACAGCTGAGGAAACAGGTTTTCTTGCTTAAATGCACCCCCCCTTTGACATTGTCAAGAAATGGGAAATTTCTCCTGTAAAATAGATGTCCAGCGATCTTCTTGCCCCCTCGGCTCCCATTCACCCTCCCATTCTAAGTCCCTTAGCAAGACCTGAATGTTTAGGAAATACTGACTTAAGGCTTCACACTAAAGGGACCAAATGGGGTGCTGCCCTCCTGGGGAGCAAGGATGTTTAAATTGCTATGTTGTGTGCAATGTTGTTTTTTGGCTAACCTTGATCCCAAGCCTGGTCTCCTATCCCTCCCTACCGTGTCCAGACTTTGCAGGTGTTTCTTGAGGCTCTGTTTGAGAAGCCAAGAGCATACATGATGTGCCCAGGTTAGATGAAAAGCCGAATAGTAGATGAGCTCCTCAGCCAAAATATACCAAACTTAGCTATATTCTCTCAAGCTTTCTCTTGGATCACCTATCCTTTCTTACTGGGAATATACATCCACTTGTCCCTACTAGGGATGATGTGGGTATATGTTGACAGGGGAAGTCATCTATGGAAGTAAAGAGAGATAGCTGAACTCCCCCCTGGAGTCAGAGCTAAATTCAGCCCCACAATTGTTTCTTGGGTTCACACTATTCTGAAAATGAAAATCCATTGGGGGCCTTGGTAATCAATAGTGATGCAAACTTCAAGGCGCCATAAAATTGAGTCTATTCCTGCCTGACCTCTTTTTGTCACCCCACCCAGCCCCTTCCTTAGTTGCCCTTCTGGGATTCCCAAACATCCTTCCCTGAAGTTCTTCCTTCCTCCACTCTTACCTATACCCAAAGTGGAGCAGACTATATCCAAATTCCACAGTTGGAAGGTCCCAAGCCTCTTTTCCATGGACAGAGACCACTCTGGGCTTACTTCAAGGCCAGTTCTATAGACTGGTGAACCAAGTTGGAACTCTTTGCCTAAGTTGGGGGCAGGATCTCTCCATCCTCTTTCTTTCCTTATAAACTCCTGTCCTAAACTCCACTTCTACCCCAAGATAGCCCCTGAACTGAGGAAGCCTTGATCCAAAAACAATGAAGGGGGCACTCTAGACAAAAGAGATATTGATGACCCTAGTTTTGGAGTGGCCCTGGAAAAGCAGGCCAGAGTAGCTGAGAGGCTGGGAATGTGTGTGGAGGGTGGGGCTGTTCTCTCAGTGATGATCATAGGAATGCCTTTCTGAGGGCAAGGATGGAAAGACCAAGGTGGGAGGGCAACTAGGGTAGACTCAGGAGGGTTTTCCTCCACTTTCTTTTTCTAACTGCCTGGATTCATCACTGGATTTTGTAAATGGAAAAACTAAAATGAACAATGTTATATTGGATGTTCTCTCTCTCTCTCTCTCTCTCTCTCTCTCTCTCTCTCTCTTGTGTGTGTTTGTGTGTCCTATCTGTGTATGATCACATGTGAAGAGGTATGATTGAGTGAGAGACAGTGTGTGTCTATATGACTTTGTATGGACAGGAAACCCTGAGGAAAACTTGCCTGGTACACATATGTAAACAAATACCTATATATGGGGAAATAGAGTATATGCACGCACACGTGTGTACACACACACACACAGGAGGAAAGGAGACACATGAAAGAGGCGAAGAGACAAAACTTAGTATTGCCTGCAGCAGGAAACAGAGTGCTTAGGAGATGGCACCTGAAATTTTTTATGTATGTATGTGTCAAGAGGGTCAATTCCCATCTCATAAAATTGTCTTCCCTTGGCCCAGCTTCTGAGCACCAGGTGAGGAGAGGATAGTTTAGAACCCAATCTCTTCCAAATGTCTGGAGATACAGTCCCCACCCCAAAATTCAAATAAAGTCTTTCTGAAATTGGACCACCATGGAAATAGGAACTGGGAATGGAGGGGGGTCAAACATGGAAGTAATAGGGTTAAGAAATGGCCCCCTGCAATATAATGGCTTTTAGAGGAACTGATCAGTCTGAACTGAGAGTTCTTCTTAAGGTTCCACTGTATACAGCTGGAACTTTGCTCAGCTTTGACTAAATTCAGAAGGAAGGATGGCATGGAGAAAAGCCCAAGTCTGGGGGTCTACCCAGCTGGCCTACTCCCTAGGCACTCAATTAATTTACTATTTATTTACTTATTCCTTCAGGTGCACAGAATTGAGCTGACCGTATTCCTCAGTTCTTGGCACACTATATCATCATTAATCCATGCAAGGTCCTTTTATTACTTTGTTTTGTCCCTTTCATCATCCCCAATCCCATCTTTCCCCACCACACATAGGCACCACTCTTCTGTATTTAATGTGTGTCCTTCCAAACCACCGTTCATGTATTTATTTACTTCCGTGTATCTGTGGAAAATATATGGCATTGATGTTTTAATTTACATAAACAGTATTGTACTATAAACCTTGTTCTGTTTCTTTTTACACTCAACATTCTGTTTTTGAGAGATCCAGCCATGTTGCTATACTTAGATCAAATTCATTCTAGTAGTCCATCTAAAACATATATCACATTTTATCCATTCTCCTGGTAATGGATTCCTAGGTTCCTTCCCTCTGCTACCACAGCAAGGCTGCAATGGGCAATTATCTCCTCTCCTTAGGGATGGCTAATTTAAAGGAAATAAGCTCAGAGAGGGGCGGTGATTTGGCTAGAGTCACAGTGGTAGTCACCTGCGATGTGAACTCTAGAAGCAAAGCCAAAACTCCACCATCATGCCTAGTCAAAGACTAGCTATCTCTGGTCACAAATAAAATGAAATAAAATAAAATAAAATAAAATAAAATCGTAGGTTATGATTAATAGTAACATTCACTTAGGAGAGACTGGGAGGAGAAATGCTGTGCAGACAAAGTTCTAGAAAAATCTAGAAGGTTGGTTGAATCGCAATCAATTTTTATGACGCAGAGGATTTTTTTTTTTTTTTCGTCTGTGATTCTTTCTGGAGCCATTTTGCAGAGATGGAAAAAGCCATGTCACTACCTGATCACCAAACCAAAGACCTCAGATACTTAAATAACTAGCACATCAACGCAATGTGCGTCTGGGGGGCTACAGCGCTCGCCCCAGAGGCATAAGCTGGTGGGGGAAGGGACAGATTTTAAGAAGTGCGTAGTTGATCTGGGGAGCGGGGCGGGGAGAACGATAGCGAGGCTCTCTGATTTCATTTGAGCACAACTCGCTTGCGCACTCCCAGCCACCCTCCCCGGGTCCAGTTTTTTTGGTCTTCCGAATCGCTGGTACTTTTCCCATTGGATAAAACATTGCGAGAATGAGGGTGAGGGGTTTCTTACCCCAGCTTTCCTCACAGCCAATCGCCCTGCAGTTTTCCTCTCATCACTGGGGCAGTCAGCTTGGTGATTGGTGGGTGCGAAGGGAGCCAATTAGAAAATGATGATGTGTAGTGTTGGCAAGCGGATTGCGTGAGAGAAGGCAGGGGTTGAGGGAACGCTAACTCCACCTCCCAGGCCTACAGCCAATGGCGGGCAGAATAGACGCCTTGCCAAGGAGTGGGGCGGAGCCTTGAGGGAGCCTTGGCGTCTGGCGCTGTGGGAGCAGGGCAGGCGCTGTGGGAGGGGACGTCAGAGCGAGGTGGTGAGCAGAGCTGGTCGTGTGAGGTGTGGCGGCGAGTGCAATTCCCTGAGCTTTGAGCGCGGTCACCATGGACCGCCCGGATGAGGGGCCTCCGGCCAAGAACCCCCGCCTGAGCAGCTTGGAATCCCGTCAGCGCTGCTGGCTGACATGAGGGGGGTGGGCCCCACGCTGCCCCCACCACTGCCCTATGTCATTCTCGAGGAGGGAGGGATCCGCGCGTATTTCACCCTGGGTGCTGGGTGTCCTGGCTGGGATCCTGCGATAGAGTCGGGATTCGGGGAGCCCCCTCCCACAGGGATGATGGAAACACTCCCTTCATCAGAAACCCCTGGGGGGAGCCTGGAAATTGACTTTCAGGTTGCAGAGCCCAGCAGCAGCCTTGCTGGAGAGAAGGCCCTAGAAACCTGTAGCTTAGGGGGGTGGGGGCCCCAGATGTTAGTCGGTCCAAAGAGGAAGGAAGAGGCTATCATCATAGTGGAAGATGATGATGAGGATGAAAAGGAAAGTGTGAGGAGGCGGCATCGGCGACGTAGGCGGAGGAGGAGGAAGCAGAGGAAGGTGAAGGAGAGCCGAGAGAGGAGTGCCCAGAGGATGGAAAGCATACTGCAGGCCCTGGAGAGCATTCAGATGGACCTGGAGGCGGTGAACATCAAGGCAGGCAAGGCCTTCTTGCGTCTCAAACGCAAATTCATCCAGATGCGAAGACCCTTTTTGGAGCGCAGAGACCTCATCATCCAGCATATTCCAGGCTTCTGGGTCAAAGCAGTATCCTTCTCATCGATACTCATGGGCCAGAGACCCATGACGAAGGAGAAATTCGCAAAAAGAGAAACAAGGGGTGTGGGGGAGGGTCAGAGATGGGAATGAATCCCCATTAGAAGATTCTAGATTGAGTGGTAGAGGGATGGCAAGAGGGCAAAAATAGAATAAAAACTAGGCTGCAGATGGGAAAACAGTAGCATCATAACATTAAAAAAAATGCATCACAGACAGTAAAAGAGGGAGGGGTAACAGAGAAGGCACATAGCCAATAAACAAGATCACACATA